GAGGAAAGAGGGGTTGGGGGTGGGGGGGGGGGGGGGGGTCAGTAGTGCCCGTGGTGCAAGCAAGAGGCGGAGCGCCTGGTGCTGGATGTTCCACGGTCAGGCAGTGAAATGACCGTCCCCCCGCACGGAGCTCACACGCTAGGGTGTTACGCAGTCCGGCAAGGTGGGGGAGGGGTAAGGCCACATTTTGGGGTGACTCCCTGCTGTTGAAGCCAGCCAAGCCGTGCTCACCCTGCCCCCCGCAGCAGGAAGCAAGCTTGATTCCTGCCGGCGGAGCGCGATCGCAGAGGTCAGCTGGCCTGGCTGCCCCTTCCCTGTGTGTCGAGTGGCTGGTTTCCTTTCCTTGTGGGTGACTGCCGTGCTGCTTAGGGGAGCAGCCGCGCCCTTGTAGGCAGCACTAGGGCGAGAGACGAGTTTGTGCGTCTCGGGACGGTGGCTGTGATTTCCGTTGTGCGCAGGGTTTGCAGGCTGGCTCCACGGCTCTCACACCCACTTGACACTTAGCAGCAGCGAGACCCTCCCTCCCGTTGCTGCCGTGTGCGTCTGCACTGGGGCCTGCTGCCGGCGCTGCCGCAGCCTTTCCAGTCAGGCCGTAGCCTAGGAAGAAGTGCGGGTTTTCAGCCTATTGGCTGTGGGCAGGAAAACACCAGAGGGAGCAGACAGCGAGGCAGCCAGGAAACCCTGCAGCACAAGATCCTCCCAGGAGTAGCTGGGAGCCTGGCTCAGCGGGGGGAGGGCCCTCTTGCAAGGGAGCTGGTTTTATAACAAACCCACCCGTTTTATGCTGCAGCTGATCAAGAAACAGCTGGTGAGTTCCATCAAGGGGCTGCAGAAACAGTACGCCACCTCCGACGCCCTGGTCACCAGTGAGGACGACCACGCCAACGCCCTGTGCTGTGCACTGGAGGCTGTGTTTGTGCACGGGCTGAAGGCGAAGTACATCAAACCGGAGGCTGGAGGAAAAGGGAAAAAGCTAGGGGGCCGTACCCCTCTTCCCCAGCCTGTCTTCTGGGGCCTGCTGAAAGTCATCACCCACAGGTAAGGAGCGTCTACCCTGAGTCTCAAAGCCCAGGTCAGCTGACTCAGGCCGAGGGGTGGAAAATTGCAGCAGAGATATTTGGGCAGGAGCACGAGCTCTGAGAAACTCTCTTCTGTGGGGTCTCAAAGCCCGAGCGCCAATGAACGTCTCCCCTGCAGTGTGAAAGCCCTGAAGCCCGCGCCTGACTGCCTGGGCCAGTCGCGGACGTGCTTGCAACCTTGTCTCGTGCCCTAAGCCTCAGTCTTTAGACCAACAATTCTGAGTCAGGAGAATTGCCCACAGCTTTAGCCCAGCTTGCTCCACAAGTAGGGCTCCTCTACAGCCCTGCAAGTTGGAACTGTGCTGTAGCCAGGTCAAGAGACTAGGGATGTAAGCAACTAGCCGACGGTCTGACAAGCAAAAGCTTATCCGATCGTCGACACACTAGTCGACTAGTTGCTTACCCCCCACCCTTGCTGCCTCTATCAGAAAGAAGAGGAGAAGGGGTGCTGGGGAGAGCCAGCTTATAAGCCGGATCCCCCTAGCTCCAGCTCCATGGGAGGGGACGGGGACGGGGACGGAGCCGGGGCGCAATGGCAGTGTTCCATCTTTGAAACGCATGGGAGTCCCTGCTGCGGCTCCTGTACATTTCGAAGCAGAAGCGCGGTGTGGAGCCTAGGGCCAGAGTCCCCCACTGGCCCCAGGCTCCATGCGGCTTTTCAGTCTTTGAAACGCACAAGAGTCCCTGCTGTGGCTCCTGTACATTTTGCGGCACTTCCACTTCTGCAGTGTAGCGGTCGCGTGGCGTCTCTTGCTACATTGCAGAGCAGAAGCGCCCTTATAGAACAGTTGATGGAAATTCTATCGACTATTCGATTAGTTGATTAATGTAATTTTAACGTCCTTACATGGGACGTCCTGGCTCCAGCGCTTTGGGCAGAGGAGATCACCAGAAACTAGCACCTTTACTGGGACTTCATAGATTGCACCCAAATGAGGGGCCACTGACCTCTCTTGCTCTGCTCGGAGAGCATGGCTAGCGGAGCGGAGAGCCAGGTGTGCTGTCTGCGGTTTCCGAGCATAGGTAGGAAACATACAACAGCCCACTGAGAAAGTTGGTCATTGTATTTCTAGGCAATGTAGTGACCCTGGAGTTAAGGCAGGAAAATTGTTGTGGTCTGGGCGGGCACTCAGGAGGCCTCTGGATTCCATGTCCTGCTCTGTGGCCTTGCTCAAGTCGCATCTCCTCTCTGTGCCTCAGTTTCCCATCCCTAAAATGGGTATAATGGTACTGAAGGTTTTTTCTCTCCACAAAGTGCTTTGAGATCTCGTGATGCAAAGCACTAGGTAAGAATGAGCTGTTCTCGTGTGCTGTTTTAGTATGCTGATGAGTTTATGAAACATTTCCCTTCTGCACAGAAGCTTTCAATCCTGTGTCTTAGCCCAAAAGCCTATGATTTCATCCAGATTCCTTGTGAGACATGCACCCTGGGAGACATTTTAGTGTCTGAGTATTTCCACCCCCCTTCTTTTTAAAGTGACCAGAAAGCCCCACACACTTCCGCTGTGGCTTCAGTACCCTATTAGATTTTGGGGAGAAATACTTTAAATCAGTTGGTTTTGATTAACCAGTGAGGGGAAGAAAAATGTTCTGGCTT